AAAAAAAAAAAAGTTGCTAGTTCTAAAGAGAAAGGACCGTTTGAAACTGACAGACCTTCCTGATGGGAGACTACGTTTTCATGGGACCTGTACTTGCTGTCATCCTTCTGTCCTTTTCCCTTTAAGTAAGAGGCTCCTAAACCACCCAGAAGCCAAGGCGCTGAGTAAGGAGAAAGCTGTCCTGGGAGACAAAGCACTACCACCTAGTCCATTTGCTCTGTGCAGGACCCAGAGGAAACCCTCCAATGTGGTAACCACTGTGTTTATGTGCCCCTGTTGTAGGCACGATTTTAGGGAGGGGTTCAGAACACTGAAGATTTTATTTCTTCAGGATTACTTTTAAATCTATATTTGAACTAAAGCCATATATCTGCTCTAGAATTCCACAAACATGTAAGTAATTTTACCTGCCCCCTCTCTAGCCCCAGAATGATGTATGTGGACATGAGGGTGCAGAGTTGTAAATTGGTGGTCATATTGCTTAAGCATTGTGATGATTGTTTTCACGCACGCAAAATCCTCCAACACATTAATTTGCATCCTATTCCCTTACTTGATCCTCCTTTCATTGGCCTTCTTATCCCTTTAATTTTGATAAGTAACTTTTATTAGAGAATAGTGTCTCTTGAAGTTAACTTGGCTAACTAGTGGCTGGGAGCCTTTTTGAGTAATGATTCTGGCTTTATGTTCTTGGTAGGGGGCGTGTCGTGGATCTCTTTGAGAATTTAGAATCTTTCCCTCAAAATGTACTTTTTTCATAACCCACAAAGTTGGAGTTTCAGGGGGGGGTGTCTTAAAAAATGCTTTCTATTGTGAATTACATAAAAGTACAGGGTAGATCATCAGGTTTGCATTCAGTGATTCACATATATTTTGTTTGACTCATCCACTGCACACCCTCAGTGTACTATCACGTATTCTGATTTTCCCGTTTCCTGCTTATGTGCCCTTTTGATCTTAAGTTGTTGATTATTTTACCACAGGAATGGGTTTGTTTCCAGACTTAAAGAGTGATTCAGAGCCCCCAACAAAATGATCCCCTAAAAAGGGGTGATTCAGGACTGTAGTCTCGGATTTCTAATTGTCTCTATCCAACTAGTCAGCCTGATCTCTTTTATGATTTTGAGTTGTTTCTTCTACTCCATCCAGGGTCTTCTTATGTGACCCTTTTTCAGAGCAGTTGGCAATGCAGCTGGGCACCATCTAGTTCTGGTCTTCATCGTGGTCCATTAGTCCATTGGACTGTTTCCATGTGTCTCTCACCAGTTTTCATCCCTCTTCTGACTTCCAGACCGGATAGACCAATAGTTGCCCCTTTGATGTAGAATATTATTTTCCTGAACTGTTAAACCAGTAGACCTGGTGTTCCCCGAGACTATGGTCCTGATTCCCCACCCAACTCAGCAGTTCATTCCCTCGAAGAGTTGAGTATATCTGAGAACTTTGCCTCCTGTATGCTTTACCATATTCATGGATATATTTGCAGAGATAATACACATGTATAGATATTCTTTGTCAAATGCATGCGCACACACACATATCCATAGGTATACTCTACTCTCCCTCCCTCACCTCTTCAGCCTGCATGTTTGTCTCAGCGTGATCCCCACTATTGCAGGATTGTGCTTGCAACAGTATTTGCCATTGTTTCTTTTAACTCTTGCAGAGCTCCCCTGTCTTGCCCTGCCTCCATCATTTTTACCAACTTCCTTCTTACTGCATATTGGCTTCCTCTTCACCCAACGTTAACACCTCTCTACTCTGACTTCCCCTCCCTCCCTTTCTCTTCCATACATGATAACCATAATGTGTTTCCTTTAGTGTAAAAACCTTTTCTTGACTTTTTATAATAACAGTCTCGGCAACATTTGCCCTTTTGTGCTTCATTAATTTCACTCAGCATGATGTGCCCTCCAGCTTCATCCATGTTGAAGTGTTTTGTAGATTGGTTACTCTGCTACCGTTGTGCAGTGTTCTGTGGTGTGACTGTACCAAAGTGCGTTCGTCTTGCCTTCCTTTTAGGTGACTTGCATCTTTTTGCTCTGTGTAGTGCTGCGATGAACATGGTGGGCATACACCTGTATTCATGCCATGCCTCTTCTTTCTTGTGGGCGAGCACTAAATAGAGGGAGCTCCGCTGGTTCATGTTATTTCTATTCCCAGCTTTCTGGGGGGGAAGTGCTGCCCTGTTTTCCAGAGTGCAGGGCCATTCTACAGCCCCACAAAGTTTCTGCTGTGTGTTCACTGGGGTTGTAGATTCCACATTCAGGGAATGACACTTACTGACTCTTAGCACATCCACAGAGTACTAGGAATTGGTGTGTTACTGGATATTTGCCAAGTTGCCTTTGTTATAGCAATAACAAATCAAGAGGCACTAAATTCAGTTAGGTGTCCCTGGCTGGGGCAAATGGTTAGTGCCTCAGCTGTTAACCATCAGGTTAGAGGTTCAGACCCATCCAAAGGCGCACCTCAGCAGAAAGGCCCAGTGATCTACTAAAAAGCCACGCTTTGAAGCTCTGTAAGTTGTATATTGTCAGCAACAGCAACAGAGTGAAGTATAAAAAGGGAAATTCCATCAACACACACATTGGTAATCAACCTGACATGGGACTTTGTGTTATTTGAGATTTAAAGGTCTCTAACATTTCTCACTTAACTTTTTCAAGGATAATATGCGTTAAGTAAAACCATGATAATATTACATGTAGGATATTCTTTTCCCTGTATCCTCCCTTTTTTGGTGAGCGCATGCCTAGACCTAGATGGCCTCCCATAGGGAGAAAGGACAGTTGACAGCCTGAAGTTGGCTGCAGTGATGATTGTACCGCTCGTTATAATAAAATTGAACTATCGAACGGTATGATTTGTGAACTGTAGGCCATAAAAACTGTTAATGTACGCGAAAAAGAATAGTGGACAAGGATAGCTCTCAGTTGTGTTTCTGTTCCTTGGTCAGGTAAGGGTTTATTTTGTAGCCGTTTTTAGGATGAGGTAGTTTCAGGGTGGATGCTTTAAAACTGTTCAGAACTTACAGAAACCAGTACCCTAAATTGAGAAAGTTTCTTTTAGAGAATAGTAAACCGTGATTCATGGAAATGTGTAAAAGTGAATTTGTATTCCATTTTAGCACGCCAATGAAGATGTGGAAAGAATGTTGCTAGGCAACAAGTGTGACATGGACGATAAAAGAGTTGTACCAAAAGGCAAAGGAGAACAGGTAAAGCCGGCCCTTTCCTGATGATTGTTCCTATTGCTTGCTCTTACAGCAACGCGGATGGGATGTGCCAGGTGTGCACCTATCATCTTGGAACCATAGTTTATCATCTGAGTGATTCTCTCCCATGTTCAATAGCGAAGACACTCAAATCTATGGGAGCAGCAGGAGGAAGGCGTGGAGGTTTGCTTCTGTAATGACTGACAGACTCCTGGAGAGCGCTTCTCTGCATCCCTGCAGGGTCACTACAACACAGGGGCTCTATGGCCGTGGGCTTGGTTGGTTAAACTACAAAGGGGGAAATAAAAATCAGTGATGCTCAATTCATTGATGGAGGGTCTCTCCCACCCTAGTTATGCTTCCAATGGAGCTCCTTTTCCTTTACCCAGTGCAGAGTCGCTCGTGTAGAAACTCTTACCCTCGGTAAATCCCTGACTGCTAAAACAACAAAATAGGATATGTAATATTTTGATTGCCTTTTTAAAAAGAGCTCTATAATCTTGACTCATTGAAACAATCTGATATTTTTTATAATTTAGTCAAGACTTGCCTTTAGAATATTAATGTTTCCTCTAAACTGCTAATACCCGTGCTTGATAATTTTATGATAACATTTTACTTCTATTTTAGATTGCAAGGGAGCATGGTATAAGATTTTTTGAGACTAGTGCAAAAGCAAATATAAACATCGAAAAGGCGTTCCTCACATTAGCTGAAGATATCCTTCGAAAGGTAAGTTCCTACTTTTGCTTAGCTGCTAAATTGATGAGTGATTTAGTGGAGCAATCTCTTCTAAAATACTAGATTTAAATTTTTAAAATTAAAATTTTTTTGTTGAGGTAATAACATTGCTAAAATGAGGACACATTAGCTGAAAGTGCAAACCCACTGAAAGACGCCTGCGAAGGCAGGCCTGGCAGTCCGTTTCAGAAAGGCCCCAGCCTCGGAGCCTGCAGAGGGAGCCGCGCTCTGTGCACACAGGCTCACCAGGAGCTGCAGTGGCCTCCATGGCAGCAGAGTAGCTGTGTGTCATCCTTGGATACTGAGGAAAAGAAGTCAGACATAAGAAATACATAGAGCACCATGTCTCCAACGTAAAGTGTGTTCTATGCATATGAAAGTAAGAAAATGAGGTGGGCTGATTTGTGGTAACCGATTAAAATGTTGGTTACCTTTGAGAGAGTAGTATTGACTGGGAGCGCCTTCAAAGGCTGTACTGATAATGTTCTAAATCTTTATCAGGTAGTTTGGCCGTATGTACTGGAAATCCAACAGCTTATGAATACTTAGGTTCACTGCACTTGAAGTTACCACTAAAAAATAAATACTGCTTATCTACTGACAAGGCTGCTCATTTAAGGGGGCATTCTAAATTTTAAAGTAATGTTTTAGAAAGTTAATATAGTGCAGTGAACAAAATTAAGGTTGCCCATAAGCCGACCTAAGGGTTGCTACTGTGTATCCTTTGGTGTATTTTCCGTATCAATTTTAACATGAATTCTACAGCTTGTCTCCCCCCCCTCCCCTCAACACCTCTCCCTGATATTAGTATGTCAAAATTGGGAGTGTCTTTTAAAGTTAAGGTACTGCAATACAGAGTCCCGCCTCAAAACAGAAAAGACTGGTTTTATTTCCCAAATGTAAGCTAGACAGGACCCAACTCTGGGTCACCACCCAGCCTCTAAGGAAGCAATCCAAGGTTAGGGCTAAGAGTTCCGGCCCTCTTATCCAAAAGCACTAAGGCAGAGATGGTCTCAGAAACTACAGAGGCTGGAGGGAGGCCCCTGGGCTGTTCACAGCTCGGGAGAAACTAGTAAAAGGAAATTTCTAAAGCTTTCTCTGTATGTGGAGAAAAACTTGTGACTGTGACTGCGTTTCGTTGCATAAATCAGCATTGATGAGAATGCTTCTGTTGACTCTGGATTTGTCCCCGGCAACATTTCTTTATGGGTCCTTTCCTTGTGTGTTCGTTCCAGACCCCTGTCAAAGAGCCCAACAGTGAGAATGTAGATATCAGCAGCGGAGGCGGCGGGACAGGCTGGAGGAGCAAATGCTGCTGAGCGTCCGCCTGTACCATCCGATGCCATCCACCACCCGTTTTCTCTCGCTGCAAAATGAACCACTCTGCCCGTTTTTAACCCTACACACATGCTTTTTGTTCTTCATCATAACTCTTCAGTCCCCTGTTTTATTTGTTCTTTCACCTGTGACTGCTTGCTGGCTTTATCATTTTCTTCGAACTTCAACAAAAAGCTGTGTAGAAAAATCATGTCTGTGACTGACTTCATTCTTAAATGTACTTGCTCAGCTCACCTCCGCATTTCGGTTGTATTATAGTCTGGTTCTTAACATTAAAACCTATAGCAATCACTTCAACTCCATTCTGCAAATTGTATAAGAATAAAAGTTAGAGTTAACAATTTTATTTTGTACAACAGTGGAATTTTCTGTCATGGATAATGTGTTTGAGTCCCTATATTCTATAGACATGCGATAGCAAAAGGAACGAACAAAAAGCCAGGAAAACACTCATTTCTCCCTGAATATGTCAATGAGGTTACTTTTGTCCTGTGCCTTACGTGGAAAGGTTTCCTTTTATTTCGTTTTGGTGGGAGCATGTGCAGGAGACACATCATCCAAACATAACCCATTCAGATGTTTGTGGTTTGCTCGGCTGTAAATTTCAAAGTAGTTCTTTGAGGACAAAGGATAATGCAGAAGCGATCCCTTTGGTTTGCTGAGTCTCAGTTTAAGTGGCCTTGATATTTAGACGATTCCTGCCCACCGTTTCCTCTCCTTGGCCACTCCCGCCCCTCGTTTCTCTTCTTGCATGCTGCTTGTGGGTTTTTGGGGGGTTTTTTGTTTGGTTAGTTGGGTTTTTTTTTGCTTTCCCCCTCTCCCTCCCCAAACCCTGACCTGAGTTATTTAAAAATGAAAAGGACAAACTGGTAGGTTTGTCATATGAAACGCAAAGCACTGGTTTAACTTGCCTGGGTCAACCAGAAGGTACCTCTGACTGCCTCCTCTCAGCTGCCCGTCCTTCCTTCTCGTCTCAGCATTCCTTCCTGGACTGTTTGGGCCTGTGTCCTCCTCCTCCTCGGTTCCCCTGTCCTTGGAGTTTCCAACGTGGAAGAGTTTAGTGCATGCACTAGTGTTTGCAGAGTGTCGTGTCCTGTCTTTCTAATTAGGTGTGTGGCCTGTTCCCATTCCTAGAACAACCCTCCTCATCTGAATTCAAGTAGTCTCCCTTTTGGCCACACCTCTAGCAGTTTGGTAGCCCAGTAAAGGTCTTTGAAAGGGGGGTGGGAGGGAGGAAAAGAAGAAGAAAAAGACCGGGTGGAGTGAAAATTACTAATTGCCAAATGTAGTAAGATTTGGTCTCTGAAGAACACTTTTTCAGTGTTAAGTTGTCTTTACTTAAGATTTAGAAATAACTTTGGAATACTATTAATTTTAAGTCCTATCTTCCCATCCTTTGGGAACGTGTGTTACCAGGGATTTGGGAAAAGGACGGCAAACAGGCTATTCGGGTAAAGATACGCTCGATTTCCAACTTTCTCTCGCCTGTTCTTTTTTCCCTTTGGTTTTCCAAGCCTGACTTCCCTGCCTGTCGTTAGGATAGGGTAAGTTAAGTTCGCTACGCTGCTAGCATCCTAACATGACACCTTTCTTGAAATAATTGTGAATGGCATGATTCATTTCTAGCAGAGGCTGAGTTTAGGACAGCAGCTTCCATTGAACAGCCTTTCTGTGTCGTGAGTAGCATCTTAATGCCCCGTTGGCTCACATCAACAACGTAAGGGGCATATCTGCTATGGAGATCCATGAATTTTTCAGATAGTGCCCTAAAAACAATTCTCTATGCCTCACTGGTGGTGGTCCTTGGGTCTTCCCTCACTTGACTTTATCATTGTTTACTACTAGTAAAAGCAGCATTGCCAAATAATCCCGGATTTTCCACTAAAAATAATACTGAAATGATGTTAAGCTTCTCAACAAGTTTTAGGTTAAACCTACTGTTGTTAGATTAACATACTTGTTTCTTCCCTTGACCTGGAATGTGGCCCTAGCTCTGTTAGTTTTAACTCTCTTTAATCCTTGTTAAATTTAGTGGCTTCAGGTTTGAGAGCTGAACACTGGGATTTTTGGGTAACATACTGACAGTTTTATTGTTTGCATCGCTAAAATTGGCATTGTACATAGAAAGGGTATGGCTACCTTTGTTAAATCTGCACTTTCTAAATATCAAAAAAAAAAAAAGGAAATGGAGTATAAATCAATTTTTGTATAATCTGTTTGAAACATGAGTTTTATTTGCTTAATATTAGGGCTTTGTCCCTTTTCTCTGTAAGTCTCTTGGGATCCTGTGTAGAAGCTGTTATCATTAAACACCAAACAGTTAAATCCATTCTCTGGTACTAGCTACAAATTCGGTTTCATATTCTACTTAACAATTTAAATAAACTGAAATATTTCTAGATGGTCTACTTCTGTTCATATAAAAACAAAACTTGATTTCCAAATATGTGGTTTGGTTTTCATTTATTTATGGAGTTGAAGACAGTTTGGGGTTTTCTCCCCTGAAAGTAGAATCAAAGGGAAATAATAACTTCCTCAGCCTGTGGAAGGAAAACCAGGGGTGCATTTTCAAAAAAAATCGTCTTAGGCGTGTCACAGCCCACAGGTGACATGGGCCCATAACCCAGGGCTGGCCCCTGGTGGCATAGTGGTTATGCGTCGGGTTGCTTACCACAATGTCAGTAGTTCAAAACCACGCGGAGAAAGACCGGGCTTAAAGAGGTGCAGTCGCGGGAACCCACGGGCAGTTCTGCCCGGTCTGTGGCAGTCGCTTTGAGTCCGCATCGACTCAGCAATGAGTTGGGTTTGGGTTTGTGGTTCTCTAAAGCTTCTCCTAGTTTTTCTGTTAATTATAAGGGACAACTTTGCCATTGGGAAAAACTCTAAAGTAATATGATATGTCAGGATTTTCTTGCATGCTCGCTCATATACCCCATCCCCAGTATATTTCTGATTATATGTTTAGAATGCAGCATATGGAATGCCTTTGGTGTTGGCGTAGAGAAAGGGACATAGTCTCTGCCCTAACTTTGTGATGTTTTAGAAAACAGAAGTCAGTGTCACTAAGTGTATACCAGACCAAAACTCTGCCGCTGAGTTGATCTCTCTCAGCGACCCTACATCACGTTTCCGTGGGGGAGCCAACAGCCATAGCCTCCTCCCAAGGAAGAGCTGTTGGGTTTGCAGTACCTCCACCTAGTCAGCATCCAAGGATATACAAGTGCTAAATCAGAGCTCTGGCCTAAATCGGAAGTGCTGTATGAATAGAATAGGCTAAGTTGGTGCGAGCAATTGGGTTGACTCTTGAGAGGCTGGACATGTATTGGTTCTTGGGTGTGTGGGTTGGCTGGCTAAGGCAGTTGGGCTTTACAAAGGGAGGGCAGAGGCAAGTCAGAAACCTGAAATCTGGCTAGACAATGGGGAGACCTGGTAGGCTCTTGAGTGTGATGAGAGAGCAACAGTCAGGAAAAGAAGACTGGATGGGTTGGACCGGGAGAAACGACAGAGCTCACCTCGAAAGTGTAAGATTAAGACCTAGCTACAACAATGGCTGAGGAAACGCAGGCCTGAAGTCGAGGGTGATCATGGGAAAGACTTCCTTGAGAGGCTGTTAGGATACAGTGGCAGTCTCCGCAGCCAGGTGGAGCAGGTAATAACCCATTTTACAGAATAAACACTCACATAATTGGTTTACAGTGTCACGGCCCCTGGAGTTTTATTTAGAGATGGTGTCAACAGTTTCCTAGGATCAGGCTTTAGACTTGGTTATGAGTTTAATAAAATGCTTAAAAACCTGCCATGGGGTCGATTGTAATTCAGCAGCCCTTGACCTCTAGGTTTTCCGAGACTAAATCTAGTCGGCTGCTTTCTCCCTTGGAGCAGCTGGTGGTTTTGAACCACTGACTGACCAGCAGTAGAGCCACCTGGGTTTCTGAGTGGTTGTATCACTCACTGACCTCAAGTCGATGCCCATGCACAGCAACCCTGTAGGACGGGACATCTCTGCCAGGTGATAAAAGAGTGCCAAAGCACAGAACTACCATGTGGGCTGTAGTATTACCTAGTTAATGTAACCATTTGGCCTCAGCCTGACTTCTAAAAAAGGAGGAGTGCTCTTGAAAAGTATCTAGCCGAGTTTCTTACTGTTTCTACTTTAAACTTGTTACTCTTAGCGCTTTGTAATTCTCTTGCATGTCCTCCTGCTCCTAACCAGCCTTTGGCCGAGGATAAAACACAGCTGCTTTGCACACTTGTCTTCATGGGCTTTTAGAGACTGTACTTTGAAGGGGACTTCAGTTATTTAATGTCTACAATGATAAAAATAGTCAAATAAAAAAACTCTGGAGAAAGTAGTGTATGCCAACTCTTTAGGTGGATCCTGGGCTCGTGTGTAATAAAGGACTAGTACAGTATAACTTGAAGTAAGGTCAAGAGCTACATAGGGAGGTAGTTACACTCAGGTTGCAAACTGAATCCCAGCAGTGATGGAATCGCAGTGAAAGTCAAGATTAAATTGGAAATTGATGATGGCCTTTCTACAAGAAACAAGTAATAAAGTCTGACCTTGTGATTTTACTTGCCACACACATACACGTGCTGGGAAAAGGGAGTTCACATTATGTAAGTCTTTCACAAACTAACTCCCACATACAGTTGGTTTTCTAAAGGAAGAGATAGCATGAGACTCTGAAATCAATCGTTGTTCGTCTTTGTAAAAAAAACATTTCACATACACAATTTAATTGCTCATTCATATTAAGAAGAGGTGTACAATCACAGTTTCAGGACATTTTCGTACGATACTCCTATTAACTTTCCCTGCCATGCCCTTTAGATGATTATGCCCTATCCTGGGTTTCATATACAGGTAGTCGTTGTAAACAGGAAGCAAACAACAAAACAAAACAACTGACTGAAAAGAAAAACCTCAAATGAAAGCAGAAAATGTAAAAACAAACAACTTTAAAATAGGTTGAGGGAAATCATGTTAAGAGGTATTACATGTGTTCATTTTAATCTAAAATTAGAATGCTCTCTGATAGCAAGGTTATTCACATTTCTGGACTATGCTCAGTGGGAATTCACCAGGGGCTTAATCCATGCGTGGACCCTGCAGATGGATTCTGGACTTCCACTGTCATCCATAGTTTTCTGCAAACCAGGTGTTCACACAATTTAAGCTCTGATACCATTCTTTGAATATGGATTTTATTATTCAGAATCTTTGGATCACACAGGCTGGTGTGCTTCTTCCATGTGGACTTAGTCGATACCTCACTTAGATGACTGCTTGTTGGAAGAAGACAAGTTTTCAAGACCTCAGCCCCTATTCTTTCTGATAGCCAGGCACCATCTAGTTTCCCCACTATACTTTAGCACCCATATCGTCAGTGATCTCTTCATGAGGATAGAGTAGGGTCATGTCATAGGAATTCGTTGTTCTTAGATTGGGCCTAGAATTAAGTGTGAGCCCAAAATCTATGGTGTATGTATGTCTCTAGTTCACTTTAGAGACATCATTACATTGTAGAGAATCTTCATTAGTCTTTTGATGAAAACTTGAGAGTAGTGAATTTGAGATTGTGTGAAGCACAGGTTTATAGTGTTAAATAAAAGCAACCCTTGGCTTTAGACACCAGATTTGTGGGTAGCAGAGTCAACACTGCTTTGAAAAGAGGCCTCCTGGTAGGGTAATGTAACCAAGAGGAATTGCTGAAACCCTGGTGGGGACTGAGCATGATAGTGGGACAGGAGGAAAGTCAAGGGAAATGGAAGAGCTGGGAGGCAAAGGGCATT